TGGGGGGCGGCGACAGCTGGATTCCAGGCGCTCACAAAGCCGGCAGGAGGATCCATTGTAGCCATCGCTCCTCCCCACTCAGCGGGGCGGGGGTGGGGGCGGGGATGTCGAAGGGCCAGGTTGTCCCGGGCCCGCCAGCGCCTGGTTCAGACTTTCAGTTTGCTCCCCTACGAAGGAAGATGAGGTGGGGGGTGGGGGTGCAGTTTGCTTTTTCGGTTCCTGCGAGATTCCTTCAAACGGCTTGCACTCACATTCAGCGGCCACTTGAGGATTGGGGAGGACTCCTGGGTTTGCTGGAGTAATTAGGGACTTACAGGCCTTTGCCTTAAACCCTGCGCTGGTGGCCTGGCGTGTGCGGGTCCAGAATCCGGAAAGCTGGGCAGTTCCACTCCGAGAAAGAAAAGTGGGGCGCTCTCCAGGTCCCTTCCCGGAAGGAAAGTAAGGTTGATGTTGCTTGAAGTAAGTACGGCTACAAAGGCCCTCTGGGTGGTTCTGATGCCCAGTGAAGTTTCAGATCCACAGCTTTATGCAAATGTAAGCAATTATCAATACACCGTTGATTTCCCCTGCCCTTTCCCCTAGCGGCAGCGCAGGACTCCAGTGTTCCACACTTTGCTTTTCCCGCTTAGTATATTCCAGAGACCTTTCCTTATCTGTACAGAGGAAATATCCTCATTCCTTTGTGAGAAGTCCCATTGTTTACCCAGCTTGTCCCCCACTGATGGACATTTATGTCGTTCCAATTCTTTACTATTAGAAACAGTACGGCAGTGAAGATCGTTGAATGCATCTCATTTCCCACCTGGAAGGTATGTCATCGTGCTTTAAAACCTCTGTCTTTGCCAGCAAGGAGATGACATACTCATGTGGGTTGACTTTCTGACCCTCTGTGAAAGACTAAATATCTCTTTTAAATTGCTTTTTGCTCAACTCACAGCCTAGGTGACAGCAGGCACATTCTCTTCCACCTCCAGCACTACCATGGCTCCAATATCCCCACCTTCTCCCTCCTCAGGGCTCACACTGCCTCTGGCTGAGTTAGGATAAAATGCCTCTTCTTCAGGGTAGGGATAGCTTCATCCCAGGGAGTGGCTTGGATTTCAGCCTCTCTTACCCGCCCAGCTCTACACTAGGGTTTCTCAACCTTGGCACTGTTGCCACATTGAACCACGTAATTCTTTGTGGGGGGAGGGGGGCCGTCCTATCTATTGTAGGATGTCTAGCAGCATCCCTGGCTTCTACATCCTGGATCCCAGTTGGCACCTCCCACAAAGATGTCTCCAGACATTGCCAAATGCCCCAGATGGGAGGTGGAAAGCAAACTCACCCCACTTGAGGCCACTCTTACAATTGCCTGGTGAGGTGGGCAGTACTGTCCCTATATCACTGAGCGGTCAAGCAGCTTGCCCCGTGTCGCCAGCTGTTGGGGAAGCAGAGCTTCCCGAGAGCAGTGCGGTTGGAGCAGAGATCCTTGGGACAGACCCTGAGGCTCCGTCCCTCCCGAAAAGATGCCCCTCACAAGGAGGAGGAACAGGACCATGCCTTCCAGCCTCGTGCCCGTCCTCTTTGCCTGGTCCCCTGCACCCAGAGACTAGAGTCTCCTAGCAGGGGACAGGTGGCCTCGTGCTGATAAAACAAATCTTCCTCATCCCCACTTCTCTCCTCAAGGGCTAATTGTATTTTGGAGACTTGTGAAATCTCTTTTTCTGTGTTCAAATATGTCTCTGGAGTTAAGTTGTGGAGAATAACCCAGCTCAATTCCTGAGCTGTCACCCTGCCATCTGTGCGGTTAATGTCAGAAAAGATGAGGGTAGCCCAGCAAAGCTGCCTCCCCGTGTCTACCATGTTTGGGAGTGAGAGGGCTTGTCAAGAGGCCACAGGGGATGAGGGGCACCGAGATCTACCCAGGAGGCCCTTCTTGGATATATTTATGAACATGCAAATATGCAAATGAAACACCAGGTCTACAAGCCCCAGAATCTTAAGCCCTCTTTGGGGTGGGGTGGTGGCCTGGGGATTTAGTTCTGTCTAGAAAATGGTTCTGCAGAGTGGATCAGCTGTCTTTCATGACATGACAATCATGTCTACAAATTTTGATACACCCTGCATGGAAGTCTTTCTCTTTCTGCCTTCCTCTCTCTTTTTGCTTTCTTAACTATTTTATTACGGACAATTTTAAACCTCCGTAAACACAGAGAGAATTGTATACTGACTTCCCATGGATTCATCATCGGCTTAAACAATTATTAACCCACAGCCAATCTGGTTTTATCTCTGTCCGCACTCACCCTGTATTTCCAAAATTATTTTGAGACAAATACCAGACATCATATCATTTCATTGGGAAACATTTCAAGAAGTAGTTCTAAAAGATAGAGTCATTAAAAAAAAAAGAACACAACACCATTATCACAACTAAAACCCAATAATATTAATTCCTGAACATCATTAAATGTCCAGAAAATGCTCACTTACCTCAAAATTTTTTTTTCAGTTTGTTTGAATCCAGATCCAAACAAATTTCAAACATTGCCATTGGCTGATATATCTCTTTTATGGTTTATCCTTTCATTAAAAAATATAAATATATACATATATATTATATTGTCATATTGTTACAAAACAAAACTTGGGTCTGCTTGTCTGCGTGATTGACACTGGGTTTATTTTAAGGCCCCAGACAAGGAATCCAGGGCAGTTGCTCAAAAAATCGAAATGCTCAGAAAATCCAAACTCCTCAATGGGTTTCAGGGAAGTATTTTCAAAGGCGAGGTGAGGGAGGCGTGTCCCAGGGTATGTAATCAGCTCGTGCAGAATTCTGATTGGTTGATTGCTTGATTCTTGACAAGAATCATAAATTCTTGAGCCAGGTTTTTGTGACTCAGGGGAGGCCTGGGAGACTGTAGCTTTTCTACAAACAGGAGGCAGGCAGAGGACATGGAGGGGAGGGACCTGTCCTGGGAAGACCTCACAGGGTCCTGCTCGGTTACAGTACCTTCCCTTTCTTAGATAAATGGTAGCATACCAAATACTTTTGAAAAAATTTAATGCAATATCCTAGAGATCACTCACAGCAACGCAGGCAGACCTTCCTCCTCCCCTTTGACAGTGGCAGAGGGCTCCACTGTGTGGACGTGTTTATTGAATCCATCCCCTACTGATGGACATGTGGATTGTTTCCAGGCTTTTGCTATAATAAATGGTGTAGCAATAAGCAGGTGAAGTCTTTTTATATTTTTGCGAGTGTATCTTTGGGATAGATTCCTAGTGGTGGGAATGAAGAAGTCAGTCTCATTAGAGTTTCAGTCTGCTTTTGGTCTTAAGTGGACATTTCATCTGATGGAAGATACTGTGGATAGAAGGACTGGAGATGTCCTGATTCGATGTCTTGCCATGTCATGACAGTGATGTGGGAATGGGTTTTGGTCAGAAGCAATTACTAAAGGAAATTTTCAGTGAGATGTCACTAGCAATTAGGTTGTATTAGAGTAACCAAAAGATGGGAATTTATCTGACATCCCTCCCCTGGGACATGCCCACAAAAGGACTAAAGTGGGAGGTAGGCAGTTTATCTGAGAAGCTGACCAATGAGGAGCAGCCTTTGGCAAGTTTTAGACAGAAGACAGATGTAGGCAGATTCTTAACCCCCGTGGTTCTTGCTCTGGTTTCAGTAAGCCCATTAGGCCAGTGGCTGGGTCGAAGTGGCCAATTTATTTAAAAATTTTTTAAATCACTTCTCTTTCTCTTTGAGTAGTCTTTCTCAAGTACTTGGTATACTTGGCCTTAAGGCACTGAGATTTAACACAAGATTTATACATTTTGTCTTTTCACCTTGATGAGACTCATATCTTCTTGGCCAGTAAGAAATTTGAAAAAAAAATGCATTATACATATTCACAACTCCCCCCACCTCTGCCTTTTAGGGAGGACAGCAGTTTTGTGTACTTTATCCTAGGCCTTCTTGCGGTGCTCATCTGAGTGGAAGGGAGGGTTGGAGGTGGCCAGAAAGGCTGAGTTAGTGGTCAGAGCAAGCGCAGGCAGCTAACCTCCTGGAAGAAAAGGGGAGACTGGGAAAAGGTGAGGGATGGGGGTGAGGAGGCGGGAGTCCTTGCAGAGTTAAGGACTTTTCAGAAGTAATTGTTATGACCATATGTGGGTTTTGTGCTGATGATACCGCCCTGGGTAAGACATGCCTCCCTTGAGTCTTCATTTTCAGAAGACAATAAGGCTCAGAGAGGCTTGGGACTTG